CACAGCTCCCTGCTGCCCCCAAAGAGCCCCCGCCCTTTCCCTTGCTGGAGGGGCAGGTGCCTCCCCCATCCTGCTGCCCCAGAGCCCAGACAGCTTCCCCCAGCACCAGCAGGCACCTGCCCCGCCATACACACCCATCCCCTCCACACACCCCTGCCACACACACATCCCAAACAGAACAGCCCCCAAGCCCCGGCCTTCTAACCCCCACCCCCGCAGACCTACCTGCATCCAGCTCATGGGCCTGCTCCCACCCCCACCTGGCTGCATGCTGGCCATGCATGTATGTGCACAGATGCATGTGATGCCCCCTGCCTCCAATCACTCCCCCAGCCCCAAGCAGCTTCTTGGTTTGGGCAAGCCAGGAAGTGCTTGGAAAAACTTTGATGCTAAGCAGAGCAAAATCCTGGACATTTGTTAATATTTTAAAAAACTGCCTGGATGGAGATGCGAGAACCCAAAAAGAGGACATGTCTGGGAAAACCCAGACGTACGGTAACTCTAACTAACCCAGACTATAAATCAACTTACTATAGGCTTTACATGGCGTTTCTGGAGTAAAAGAGGCACTCTAGTAGGTTTGGTTTTTTTTGAGATTTTCCTTTGCCTGCTTTGAAATACTCTTTTACAAAGAGCACTCATTCCTCCACTCCAATTTTGACAAACACTGAGTTACTTGAAGTAACTGAATATACAGTTTATAGTGAACATACACTTTATGCTTTTGTGCAGGCAGTCAAGCAAACCAACGGAATATTCACATTTTTGAAGTTTTTTAGTTTGACTGACCTAGGCCTTGATCCTATACCGAAGAGTCTCAGTTCCACGGAAAGTCACAAGAAATTTTGGTTGCTCAGCATCTCTCAGAGCTCAGTTCCAAGCCAAGATCTCCACAAATAACAACAACAACAACAACAGTACTTTAGGTACATTAGTCCCTATATAGATTCCCATCCAATTTTTAAGAGCACTGAATAACCTAAAACTTGCACTAACATCAGTATGGGCTTGTGGATGCTCAACAGTTTGACCAAAAAAAAAAAAGCAAATATTTAAACACAAACTTTGGAGCCAAACTTCAGACACACCAGTTTGAAAAAAAGAGATCTTTTCATACAAGTGCCTGAAAGGTCACAAATACTGGAGTGAAAGCCAAAGAAGGACAAAGACAAACCTCTGAAAAAAAGACAGTAATCATTTGAGTTCTTATTGATTGGTTATTTTGGTTTCTCTTCTCTTTTCCAGAATCTTTTTATGAGACTATGTAGTAATTTAACATCAATTTAAGAAAATCAAAAACTTTGACCAATTCAATAGCAACTATTCATTGATTCATCATCCATTTTCTCAGAATGTCTTGGCCTTCAGCAATGGAACTCATTCAACCCAGAATATAGTTATTACTTACTAAATGAAAATAGAATCAAGTTATTTAAGTGTGGAACTTTGCGCACTAGTGAGAACACTGGCTTTGCTCACTACCTGTAATCAGCTGAAGGAAACTGGACCCAAGAAAATTGGGCTAACAAACACCCAGAATGGATTTGTATTTGTCCTCCTAGGCTTCTCCAGTTATATCTGGGTAGATGAATGCCTATACCAGTGTGGAGTTCCCACAGAAATTTGTGGGACTCCATATTGTTGCCTGGGTTGGCCTGCAGAGTTGGAGTCTTAGGGTTGATACATTTGATATAAGTGCCTCCTGACCCCACAGGACAGGTGAGTGGCATGGGGCCAGTCCATGGACTCGGTTCTGTGGGCAGGGTCAACCCCATGGGCCGGATTTAGCATGCGGCCACTTCATAGGCAGATCTGGGATGCAGGTACAACTGGGTACAGCGGCCTGGCTCCATGTGCTGAATCCAGTCACGAAGCAACCACACCCACAGGGCTGTCATCTAGCTTACAGGGCTCCCCATGGATCTGTAAATCTGGGGATGGGGGAGTGGTGGCAGTGGCAACTGCTGTGAATCTGGAAACCATAGCAGTTAATTCTGCCATTGCTCTCCCACCACCAAATTTCCAGACCTGTGGGCTGGCCTACAGGCCAGATGACATGACCCCATAGGCCAGAGTTTGAGCACCATTGGTGATACATAAAGTAGCAACAGAAAAGATTAATGAAAGATTCTAAATTTCCTATATTACTGCTCCTAAAATCATCTTTATAAAAAACTGTTTAAATTCATAAACCTAACCTTAAAAACTTACAACTGTTCGTTCTAAGACCATATTAAACCTATATACTTTTATCACTGAACAGAAACACTTTTAAATATGCACAGAGCAGGGGCAAATTAAGCATTACTTGCCGTACTATATATACTTTTGATAATATATTACTACTGTTTTACTTTATTGATGTGAATATACCCTTAGCAGTCCTGGTAGAAACGAGGGCCCTTCCAACTGAAAACAGTAATCTTGCAAAGATTAAAGTAGCATTCATCTGTCTGATTTCATCACTTCTGCAGCCAAAGGAAGTGAGAGTCAATGTTAACTACGCTTAACCCTTCTTTCCAACTATTAACAGATCAGCTACAATCATTATTCTTTCAGTGGAACAAGAAATGAAGCACTGAAAATATTTTGAAAATATTTATTCACAAGCTCTCAATACAACTTTGTGAGGCAGTTATTATTAAATCACCATTGTATTGCTGGGTAAGCCAAGGTAAAAAAGTTAAATAGTTAGCTCAAAAGGTAGAACCCAAGATTCCCGATTTCCAGTCTAAGTACTTTAAATGTTGTCCAAGCAACAACAAAATAAAATGTCAAAAATAAGTAAACAAACAAATAAAAAAGAAACTCACAATTTTATCTGATCCATATATCTCTTTCAATTGTTCAGCAACTTCCTGTGTCCCATCTGGGCTTCCATCATCTATAACTATAATTTCGAAGTTGATTCCACTGAAATGAGAATAATTTTAAAAGAACACATGAGAAAGCAATTTCACTAGCTGTCATTTCGAAAGGTTTGAAACTTGAGGATAAAGTACTGAGTGATTCACTAGCAGTTAGAGATGCATGCTACAGCTATTCAAGGCATGATTTAATATCACCCTGTTTCACTCACATCTCAAGCTACAATTCCTTCACATCAAATTGCGGCAGTAGCAGCCTGATCATTACCTCACCTACAACATTTCATTTCAGCATTCCCAATAGCGTAAGAGACTGGATGCTAAAAATGTTTTAGTTCCTTGGTCTAGCAGTACTTTCCCTGGTATTGGTTATAGCAAGTGCGAGTCTTCCAATTAGAGTCATTTTGTTCCCCTAAATAATCACAGTGAAACATAACACTGTTCACTATTAGAGGCAGAATATAGTTGCCTGTGATATTCTCCATTTGTAAAAGAAAGATTTTCCTAGCACAGATAACCTAAAGCTGTGGCTGCCAACCTCCAGGCGCAGGGTCTCGCGTGGGGGGCCGGGGTCCACCCCTCGCTCCACCCCTCCTGCCTGCGGGGCTCTCTTGGTGCACAATCTGCACAGCTCTCACCACCACTGGCCCCTGCGATCCTGGCCTGGGCTCTGCCAGAGCTGTCGGGCATGAATGAGTCAGCGGCAGGGGCAGAGGTTGCGGCAAAAAAAAGTTGGGAGCCACCGACCTAGGGGGATAACAAAGTTAACATTATTATTTCATTAACTGTTATCCATCAAACCTAACTACTAATATTTAGGGGCAAATTTTCATGTCTGTCAGAGAAATATTACAAAAAGAAAAAAAAAAAAGATTTTTAAAATCCAGCCCTGTACAGTTCAACACGAGGCCGTAAACTTCTTGACAAACAGCCAGGCACTCGCTCCCTTCGCTGCCCGGATCCCGGCCCACGACAGCTCCCCAGCTGAGATCTCCTGGAGCATTTAGCACCGGTTCCCAGCCTGCGGTACACGTACCACCAGTGCTACACAGACTGCCGTCCGGGGTGCACATTAACAGATTTACGATAATTAGTTTACTCCACACAAGTTTGCTGCTGGGACTTAAGGTGGAACTGAAAAATTTGCCGGCGGGACTTAAGGTCATACTGAAAAGTCCCACCAACAAGTTTTTCAGTTCAACCTTAAGTCCCACCAGCAAATTTAAGGTCGAACTGAAAAATTTGCTGGTAGGACTTAAGGATGTGTCATTTTAAATCAGCAATGCACAGTCTGCCAGAGTTTGGGAACCTTTTAGAGGATTTACACAGAACTTGTGGATGCGCAGGCAAAACCCCTGTGGGCCTGAGCAGACGCCCAGGCTCCCCACCCCAGGACTGGTCTCTGGTCCCCTCTCCGAGGGGCCGTAGGCACCGAGGGGCTGAGCACGCAGGCCTACACGAGGCGAGGGTCTTCGGGTAAATCCGGTATCTTGTACTAGTCTAATACTTAATAAATAACGAATAATACATAATCATACAATTTATTATTGGGGCTAATACAAGATACCGGATTAAGCTAGTCTGCCCGCGTTCTCAGAGCAGCACGGCGACAACCTACGGGCCTCGTGAGCGGTTCCCCGAGCTCGGGGGACGCGTAAAGCGGGGCCGGGAGCGAGGAGGGGCAGAGGCTGAGGGCGGGGGTCGGGCCCACACCTGCTCCGGAAGCTCCGCACCAGCAGCCAGACGACGAGCGGCAGGTTCTCGCGCTCGTTGTAGGTGGGCAACAGCACCGAGACCTTGTCGGCGGTGCAGCGCTGGCCGGCCATGGCGGGACCCAAAAGCGCCCGGAACTCGCAGGGCGGCGGCGGCGGCGACGGGGGCGGGGGGAGGCTGCTCGCCCGCCCCTTCCCCGCAGCGTGGGCGGAAGGGGCGGGAGGGCAGCAGAGGGTGCCGGACCGGAAGCGGAAGTGCGGCGCGCGAGGGCCGGGCTGGGCATGGCGCTAAGCGAGGCG